GGTTAAAGGAAAGGGGTAGACCGGTATCAAAATCAAATACACACGCACACTCCCGTCGTGATCTTCAGGTTGCACGAAACTAATTGTTTTGACTATACTACGACCCATTACATGGTCGGCTCGTTAAGAACACCCTGGGTTTTTTTAGCGGTTGCTTTCAGTGTGGGTCACGCAGATCTACGGTTTCAGACTCGACTTACTGTCAAGACAGTCTAAAATAGGAAAAGGGGCTATCGGCGTGGGGGTGGTGGTGGGGGTGGAATAAAAAGTGTGGACAATATCAGAATGTGTCGGTACTTTAAAAAGGTAGGATGAAAACTAACACCAAAATAGGCTAAGTAGCATACTGAAATTACATTTTAAAAATCAAGCAATACAATACATACGTGAGGCAGCGTGGTGGAATCAGGCTCTCGTCAAAATTATCAAAGTGAACAAACTTGCATTTTTCCGCAGGTTTGTGAATTTTTATCAATTTTTTTATTTTTGGCTCAACACCTTTCATGCCCATTAAAGAACTCATTTCTGTGTAGATTGTTCAGAAAAACGTTTATTAAAAGAACAAAAAATGTAAATTTTCAGTTACCACGAACTCTTAAGCTATGGAAACAACCATTCTTTAGCGGCCATTTTCTCACTAATTTTACCTCTGATCTCCTTCATCCAAATATCTCGACTTTTACTCAAAATAAATGGATATCTTTTTCATTGAAATAAAGACAGGTGAACAAGCTTTTGAAGATGACACCGATAACTCTACTTGCCCAAAAATTGACGAGAGCCTGATTCCACCACGCTGCCTCACATACGCTTGATAATACTACCTCGACGACACAAACTTGTAATGAGGCTCTTTTATTTTTGGTAAGTGTTTTACGGCGCTTGAAACTGCATAAGGTCATATGAGCGCGCGGGACACACCTTATGCTTTTAGTTTGTAGGAAATTTTGAATTTTGCCCGGGTGGCGGCCGAAGCATACTCTTATCGATTTCAGACCAGCAAGGGATCTTTAACGTGCGCAAATTGCACACGGGCCCTCCGAGATTTTTCGCCCTTGTCCGAGAAGGCTAGGATTAGATCTTCCCTACCCGAAGGTCAGGGGTGTGGCAGAAAGACAGCTGTAAGAAGGAGTCAAGGAGTAGCAGTAGAAAGGCTGCAGAAAGAGTCAGGAGCCCAGAGGAGGGGGCAAAAGGGGTGAGGTGGTGGGGACAGAAAGAGGAGACGAAAGCAGATGACAGAATATTGCTAGCGAGCAGGAAAGGAGGTGAAAGGAGACAATTTTAGAGAACAAAATTGTTCGGTCGCTACCTGGATTCGAACCCGGGACCTTTGAATGAGAGGCGAACACCTTAACCTCCAGGCCACGACAGCCTCAATGAGGCTCAGAACGAACACAGATCCAGAAATGGACTTTCAACAAGATTTCTGACAACTTTGCTATCAATAGAGATCTTTTGAAACGTGGAGAATATTTTAGTCCAGTTTGGCCCATCGTGGTGCACCTGCACTCTCTTTGGCTGCACAAGTACGTTCTCTTTATCTCCCGCCCGTTCACGCTTTTTTCCACACCTCCACGAAGACATTCAATACGATCCTACTCTCCTTGTTCCCGGCCCGCACACAGTCATGAAAAGTAAACGAAACTTTTTGCGTTTCTTTTTCTGCTAGAAAGATGTCGAGTGTCAAGGATGGGCCAGGAGCGGGATGCAATTGTTAGAAATAACACGTAGGACACGTGTAAACGATAACTGTCATATTTTTGGGATATTGAAGTAGACGCATACGCTTGTCTTTCCTCGCTTCCTGTAGTTCTCGCCTCTGTCCATCTGTCTCTGCCCCAGTCTGTCTGTCTGTCTGTCTGTCTGTCTGTCTGTCTGTCTGTCTGTCTGTCTGTC